GCAGGAATGGGAAACTGAGTTAGCTAGCCTAAAGGATGACACCTCTTCTTGAATTTTTTGTTGTGTTTCAGATGCTAATTGAAGCAAATCATGAAAAAGACACTGCACAATGTCTGTCTGTCCTCTTGAAGGTGAGTGTTACAAGTGAAACGTGCCTACCTGTTTTTAAAAAGCATCTCCAAGCTATGACGTTAGTAATGACGCAGAGCATTTTTCATCTCTTCACCAGCTTTTCACGTGATCCCGTAGAAAATATTTGATGAAAACTTTAGACAAGGTTGTCCACAAAACTCATGCTCGTGCCTGTAACCATTTTTGCCAAGATGGTTGAAATTTATCGGTTAAAATCAAGAAGGACAGAGAGATGGCCTGAGGTCCCTGTCTGCCCATAGCATTCACAGCTGCTTTGTAAACTCATTCTGCAGTCTGCTGAATTAAAAAAAATTAGGAATACGCATCCCTCCAACTTGGGTCGTTACGCTGCTGGTCAGGCAAGCGCAGTTTTGAAAGAGCTGGCTATACCCAGCACAAGGCACTGGGGGTGTGCTCTGCAGGTCTGGCTATTAACGTCATACCCGTTTTTAGGAAGACTCTCAAATTCCTTTCCCTTTTCGTAGTTTATTTGCCTCGCAGGCTTAGGACGGACACATTTTGGTGCAACTAAGTTGTCTGCTAGACTTCAGTCCCTGTGACGAAGAGGAGATTGGATCTCTTCTGCTGTAACTGTAATGCTTCTGATGGATTTCCCTGTGCCTGAGAGGGCTGGGGGAGCACACCGAGTTTTACTGAGTTTGGGGTGTTAGAACAGACCGATGATTAACCAAATACATTGTTGATTTTGTTTGAGAGCTAGCAAAGATTGCTGAGGTTTTCTCTTCTTTCAAAAAACCCCCAGTAATAGCAATCTATAGTAAGAGTCCAATTTTGCAGCCATAATGCTGTGATTCTTTTTCCTTATTTCTCAAGAATAATGCGGTTATTTGAAAGCATACCGTGATTCAAAATCAATTGGTTTTGAGCAGTGTGCAGAACTTCTTTGGGGCTTGCTTGGTTTTACTACACTTCTGTATATTCCATTGTGCTGCGATAGTGTTAAGGAACTGAAACATGCTTTAAATTCAAAATCTATGTGTGAAGTTGTTTATCAGTTTTCTAGTGTAAACATTCATTCTTGAAGAAAACAAAATTGAGAGATGATTTTAAAGATAGCTGCAGTATAAATCCAATCCAAATCCCCCAAAGTAAAAAAATTACTATAAAAACATGCTTGGTTCACGTGAGGCATACAGTTTAAAATTGAGGTTGAAATGGTTAAAACCTGTCTTAAGAATTCTTACTGCTCTA